CTCCACACACCCTGGGACAGGTCTCCTCAGCCTCCACACACCCTGGGACAGGTCTCCTCGGCCTCCACACACCCTGGGACAGGTCTCCTCAGCCTCCAGACTGTGAGAAATACATTTATCAATCACGCAATGGTACTTCATTCCAGGGCAGGAGACAGACTATGAGACAGCATAGTGCTCTTCCCTCTGTGACTGACTTACTTCCTGCTCCTCAGTTCATGTGAGCACAGCCAGAGCAGCTGGAGTGGAAGCGAGCATGTTTACCAGCTGTGCCAGAGAATAATCACCGAAGAATACAACAGGCGCAATGAAAGAGAAGCTGGTGCTCGTCTATTGTTGAACTATGTGCCTTCACCTTCTGGGAGAACGCGGATACGGCTCAACTCCTCGCCATGGAGATTCTTAAATACATGATGCCTGTATGTCTTTCCTTTCCCCAGGAAAGATCAGGACTGGTCCCACACTTTTAATTTCTGATAATGTGAAGGGATGAAGCCCGAGACTTTGAGAAGGACACTATTGGTGAATTTATAGATGATCAGAAGTATTTTAAAAATGTGCTATATAAATTTACTTATGGTAAAGGGTCAGTTTAAACAGCGTGGCCGATCTGGGTGAGAATTCTGACTAGATGGGTCATGCCTTGTACTTCCGTCTGTATTCATTTCCTTCTGGGTCACTCACAGTACCTGGTACTGACCACCTCTCTGCAGTCAGAGGAGGGTCAGTGGCAGCAGTGACTGAAGTCACACCAAGTCCATCTTGTCTCACACACACACAACAGCAGAACCTGTGACTGCATGCTGCTGTGGGCCTTACCTCTTCAGGCGGAGTCACTACATAGGGGGGGTTAAACACCAGCAGGTCAACTTTTCCCTTCAATCGGGGCAGCAAGCCTTGGACCTGAAGGCGGCAACAATACAGATTAAGCTGGATTCTGACTTAAATAAATCAGTTTTAAAAATATTCTCTGACGTTTTCCAGAGGGGAGGGAGTACTTATAAACAGATAATTTTTTTTCATGCAGATGCAGTTTATATGAACTAAAAACGAGTAAGGTAGTGAGAGTGAACAGATATTGAATATGCATCTCAACAGCATATTCTTCAACAGCAGATACGTTCACACTCTGGGTTCACTTTTACAAGACATGAGGACATGAGGATGAGGCAAGCTCTGATTCTATGAAACACTCCCTGTGGATCTGTGACGAGCCTGACAGCTATCTCTAGCTTACACTATCATCTGTGTGTGTGTGTGTGTGTGTGTGTGTGTGTGTGTGTGTGTGTGTGTGTGTGATTCAAAGTTACCCCATTTCCAGTCATACCATCTAAGCACTGGACATATACTGGACTGGGTTATGAAGTCTGAACATACATTATGAAGTAATATCTGAGAATTTCCGGATCCAGATTCTATAATCCCATTTTAATTATACCAATAAGCCTGGTAACTTGGTAATTCAAAGAGAACTCCTATGACCTATTTTTGAGGATATGCTTGCAGAACTAATTCTTTTTCAGCTTCTTTAATGGGGGAAACAATCTATTCCTTGAAATAATTTGGATACAACTTTGCTTGCAAACTGAAAGATGATTCATCTGCTCCTCCATCAGTGCAAGAACGAGGGAATAACTCTGTGTGCACAATGCTTTGTTTTCAATTCCATAATGAAATTAAGTTTCTTAAAATAACTCTAAAATATAATTTTCCAGAAATGCTGGATAAAGAAACTAGAGAAGATTTTGCTTTGTAACTCACAGTGGTTCCTGAAGAACTATCCAGCTATCCATTAACAACTGCAGGCTGGATATTACATAAAGGAAAGGGACAAAATCTTAAAACAGAAACTGTTGTGGGATATATGATCACACTGTGAACCCCGAGTTTGCATTTGTGTTAATTAAATAAAAATCAACCTTGGGTCAGGAGGCAGAGCTAGCAACTAGTTGACAGAAAGTAATCACAGAGTCAGAGGACATCTGGAAAACAGAGAGGTGCACAGGAAGTAGTTGGGTTTTTTTTTGTTTGTTTGTTTGTTTGTTTGTTTGTTTGTTTTTTTTGGTTTGGCAGAGTAGAATGATGCTCCCTTTCGGAGACACCTGTGAAGAAGGAAGGTCAGCTAGTTGTTCACCAACCTCTCAAAGCTAGCAGGTTTTCACCCAGCCTCTGACTCCTGAGTCTTATTGATAAATAGAACAACAGTTTTAGTTAAAATGACATTTGGTGACGGGGCAGGAGGCTCCTGCTGGGCAGCTACCGGACAAACAGGTCACTAACTGTGGAGCCAAAATTATTGGCTGAAACAGCATTTGATCCAGGCACAGAAATTCTTGAAATCAAAATATATTTAAATAAAACTGAAGGTCTGGTACAGGCATCTCTAGCCAGGCCTAGTCGGTTGCGAGCCTTAATATCTCCAAGAGTTGAAAAATAAGTGAAAGAGGCCCTGGCAAGGGTTAAATGCACACAGCAAAACACACAGGCGTTATATCCTATGGTGACACTTACGGAGGACCCTTAGGTTAAATACGAGTCAAAACTGTCTGGTTTTCTTGCATAGAGCACGTGGAAAAGGAGAACGGATGTTCTGCCAACAGAAGAGAGTGAAACAGGACAGTCTGATGCCAGCGAAGGCAGAGGAGGACTGTGAGCCACTTCACAGGGCAGACAAGTGAGCAGGCCTTGGTACCGTACAGCTCGGAATGACTGCCGCGGAGGGGTTCGTAAGAGGCCCAGCGTGTTTGGGATGTGGTAACGGTGGGAAGAAATACATATTATGTATTTTTAAAGACCATATTCTAAAACTAAAAACGAACAATAATTCTACCTTTTTGATTTTGAGAAAGGGGGTATCGTGGTCTACTGGGGAGGCAGAATCAGGAGAAACTAGAATTAAAGGTTGTCTACAACTACACACAAAGTTCAAAGACAGACTGAGACAAAGGTGAGGACAGGTATGGAAGCTGTCTTGATTTTTGCTTGTCCGCAGGACCACGTTCCCTTATTTCTGCCTACGTCCCCTTTGCTTTTGATGGGACTGTGGTGGTTTGTGTAAGGCTGGCATCACAGGCTCACAGGGCCTCTTTGCAGGAGGTGTGTGTGTCACTAGAGGTGGTCTTTGAATCTTAGAGGTTTCTAAAGGCCAAGCCAGTCCCAGCCTCTCTCTCTCTCTCTGTCTGTCTCTCTGTTTCTCTCCTCTTCCCTCCTCTCTTCTCTGCCCCCAACCCCACTTCTTCACAACAATACTGAAGTAAAAATAACTAAGACAGGGATATTCTATCTCCTCTCATTCTCAACTCAAGCCTGGGCAGGATCTATGTGGAGTGGAGTTGGGGGACTATGACCCAGGTCAAAGCCACTCTTCAAATGCCAGTCCTTAGACACAGGACCTGAGCTGACCCAAACAACTCTCATTCCAAGTATACTATTGAGATACTTCTTTTCATGGGGAGCTGTTAATAAATAAGACACAGAAATGCAAACATCTGGTTACCATGAGGGTGTGAGATTGCCTAAGAGACAACAGAGAGAAACACAGAGCTAAGAAAAAAAAATGTGCTCTATCATCTGAATTCCTGTGTTAGCTGTGTCTAAAGCTTTTAAAATTTAAGCCAGCATGAAATGGATAGAGTGTCACATTTAGTCATGTTTACGGTCAGAAGTTAATTACTTGCTAGATGCATATCTACAACTCCAGCACTTACCCAATACCGAATGGTTAGGTTTAAAGTCATAAACACAAGTTAACATCACACAGACTGATCAGGATTTAGGAATATATGCGCGCGCGCGCGCGCGCGCACACACACACACACACGTATATATGTATGCACCTGTGTGTGTGTGTGTGTGTGTGTGTGTATGCAAGTAACAACAATTAATGAAAAAAAAAGGTCATGAATTTGAAAAAGAGCAAAGAGGGATATATGGGATGGTTTGGAGGAAGGAAAGGGAAGGGGAAACGATGTAATTATAATCTCAAAAATAAAATAAAAATTTTAATTAAAAATAAAAACAAGCTGGGCTGGAGAGATGGCTCAGAGGTTAAGAGCACTGCCTGTTCTTCCAGAGGTCCTGAGTTCAATTCCCAGCAACCACATGGTGGCTCACAACCATCTATAATGAGATCTGGTGCCCTCTTCTGGCGTGTGTGCATGCATGCAGATAGAACACTGTATACATAAATAAATCTTTTAAAAAAAATTAAAAAAAAAAAAAAAAGCAAAAAAGAGTACAAGGTCATCTTGGGCTATATAGTAAATTTGAGGCTACCCTGGGCTATATGAGACTTTGTCTCATAAAAACAAAAAAAGTTAATTACTAAAGTTTATTTGCACTAAAACACTGATTTTCAATTAATTGAGAGGAAACTGATTACTACTGAACAAGAATTACAGCTCACCAAATCTGTAATTATTGGCTGAACGTGAACTCTGTTACAGCGTGCTGTCTCCAGGGTGCAGGCGGCTGCCTGGGGGTTGATATCAGTGCACCTATAAACAGGGTAATGTACAGAAGCAAATCGGTTAGATATTTTAGGAATGTTCTGTTAATTCTACGTGGTATCAAAAAAAAAATCAGGATGTTTTCATAATGGCAAAGCAAAAGAGAACAAAGTCTTGTTATACTGATAACAAACACTGCTAAAAAATCTGCTCACACTCACCTGAAGGAATTTATTAAAGTATGGCTTCAGCACCCAGCAAAACGGAAGCCAAGAGAAATAGAATAGGGAACTGCTACACAAAATACATAGGAAGTTACAAACGGAAAGAAAAACATTTGTTCTGTGTATGGCAAAATTTTCTGATGGCCATTTCTTGGCTTTTGTATTCTCAAGTTCTCAGCAAAGAAGTTTAACTTTCCAGCTATTTTCTAACAGTCAAACTATTTACCTGAAAACAATTCGAAGTAGAGATAACTTAAAATTATGTTGCTTCTAAAAATCACATGGCATGAAGGCATGAACATGAAATCATGACTGGGGGTGAGCATAGTGACTCGAGTCCTTACTGAAACACTATAAGAGACACAGTGTCTCCTTAAAATATTCACCAAGCTGCCACAGTCATGGTAAACCAGGAGATGTGGATGGACATCACATACTCACATGTACAAGGCCTGAGGACCTATCATGGAAGCCAGGAATGCAGACACCACACCAGACCCTGCTCCTACTTCGAGGCATATTTCCACTCTAATAACAAAAACCAAAATATTTAGTTCATTCTTATGAAGAGATTCTTCATGGGCGATAGCTCTCATGCTATATATTTCTCCAGCATCACCATTCACTTGCAAATACATGGGGATATAAGGGAAATTAACAATTTCTGGCAACCATTTGGTGCTTATTGTTGTATAGCTAAACCTAATAGTTTAGGTGTGTAATAGATTGTCAGTCACCTTGAAGTACTTAAATACACCCAGCAGCATGTCCTAGGAGCAAAAGTCCTCCACCCATCTAGACAGATGTAGAACAGACACTCTACTAAATTGTGAAGTGCCTCAGTGTTTGGTCTTAAAATGCCAATAATCTTAGCTTTCTAAACTTAAAAAAAATCTTTACATTATTTTCCAAAAAATGTGTTTCCCCGATCACTGTACATGCATCAAAAGCACTACTTAATTTCCATGACTGATGACATTTATGGGAATTCCTGGCACTTAACTTTTCAAACAATACTCAAGAAGCAGTTACACAGTTCTTAGCTTTAGAACTAGCCACATAGCTGAGAAGCCATTAGTGGGTCGGTCATTCTAAAGTTTGTGAATCTTACCAGGTGGCTTCTTCTTAGAAAGAACCATTACAGTTCCATAAATAATTAGCATTCCAAACCTTTGTAACAAGGTCAGCTTCGTTTACAGCATAAGTCTGCAATGCAATCTGTAGTTGTACATCTTTCTGGGCTATTCTGAGCATACATAAGTTATGGTCCAGTGTTCCGTAAGATATTCCGGTAAACTGAAATGCTCCACCGTCTATGATGAAAGACTTTTAAAAAGAGCGTTTTATAGACGGAAAAAAATATGACAAAGCTTAAGAGGGGTAAACATGTTGGCTATTTCTTTCTGGAGAAACCCAGTTCAAATCTTGACCATTAAAGTTAATGACCCGACTTCTTGCAGCAAAATGTTTTATTACATTTATTTTTTGTGTGTGGGGGGTGGGGTAGGGGGCGGGGAGCATGTATGGCGTTCAGCACTGCAACTGAATGCACAAGAACAACCTGTAGGAGTCATTTCTCTCCTTATGCCTTGTGGGTCCTGAGGATTGAACAGGGGTCCAGGGGCTTGGCAGCAAGCGCATTTACCAGCTGAACAGCCGTATCCGCTCTCAACTCAAATTCTTTTTACTGAAAAGTTAACGTGTAGGCATTTATTACTTTTGTCATTAAAGTTATGGCCAATTCTTCAACAAATCAGGCTAGTGAAGTTCCTACAAGCGGATGCATGTACTATCAATTTAAGTCTTTCATCATGGTTCCAACTACGTTTCTAACAGTTCAATTGTAAATTCGGCTTCTCAGTTGCAGTAATATTCCAAGTGCTCAGTAGTAACAGAATGGGTGGCTAATGATTGTTCCTTGAGAAGGGTGAATGGGTTTAACATGCCACTACATCATTTGTCTCCTTCCGTTGCCAGAGGATGCGATTTATGCATTAAGTAGGTCAAATAACCCTACGCGAGTTTTAGGCAGTCAACTAAAAAAACCGTAATATTGGAAAGCAGCAACATTTCCGGAACATCGTGTTTCTGGTCGTTACACTACGGCTGCTCTCAGGGGCCCTTGCGTTCTTCAGATGAACAGCGGAACGGCAGGGCAGGGAGACGGACCATTGACCCCCGAGGAACACCAGGGCAGAAGAGCACAAATCCCAGCACCCGGGGAAGCGGCGCTTTCACCCCGCCCTGCTGTCAATCACCAGGAAGTGGGCCGACCCACCACTCCCGGAGGAGGCAAGACTTCCGGCTGCCGCCCCTAAGGACACCCCGCTCGCTCCCGCTGTGGCGCGCACCCTCCTCGCACCCGGCTAGCTCGGCCGCCGCCGCCTCGAGCGCGTCCAGGAGCAGGAACGTGTCCTCCGAGGGCTCGTACACGTCGCTGAAGGCTCCGCGCCCCACGTGCCCGTACAGCGGCGTGGGGAGGCTCGGCGCCGCCATCTTGCTCTCCCGCGTCTTACGGGCCTTGCCTTCGGAGTGCGCACGCGCGTCGGGCCGCGCATGCGCTTTGGCCTGACACTGGGGTGGAGTTTGGGGCGAAATCTTTGGGTTTTATGTGAAGTCCGACACCCTGCTGGACTGTCTAGGAACTTTTAAATAGTTATATGTTCTGCGACCACTAATATCAGTTTTCGTCTCCTGAACATTTTGTGTTTACTTTTTAAACTATTCTAATAACTGAGCATCCTGTTATTTTATTATTATTATTATTATTATTATTATTATTATTATTTTACTAAGGTGACTGCTGCTTTATTCTAATGGCATTTGGAAATTTTCTTCCATTTTTTAACTTGTAAGGACTTGCAAAAAGAGTGATCACTAAGTTATATTGTTTGTTTTTAAACAGATGAACTGTAAATTTTAATCTGTAAGATTATAGCTACTTTTATATGCTTTATTTGGTTATTCAGTCCTCATTATGGAGCCCCGGCTGTCTTGGAACTCATTATGTAGACCAGGCTGACCTGGAACTCACAGTGATCCGCCTGCCTCTGTCTCCTGAGTGCTGGGACTAAAAGCTTGTGCCACCATGCCCAGCTTAGATTATGATTTTTGAAAATTGATTTCTTATTTGATTATTTCATATATGTATAAAGTTGGTTTTGGTCATTTTCGTTCATTAAGATATTTTGAAAGCCTGTCTTAGTCTGGAGAGCTGGAGAAGTGATGAGTGGTTGAGACCTTGTACTGCACTTGTGGACGGCCCAAGTTTGGTTTCCTGCATCCTTGTCTGGTGGTTCACAGCCGCCTGTAACTCCAGCTCCAGGGGATGGGTGTGCTTCCCACCTCAATGGCACGGAACTGTTGTGTATACACATTCATGCAGGCAAACACTCATGCATGAAATAATAATAAATCTTCAAAAAAATGGGGCCCGGAGAGGCGGTTCTGCAATTCAGAGTGTTAGGTGCTATTCCAGAGGACCAGAGTTTGGTTCCCAGTACCCACATCAGGTGGCTCAGGAGATCCAACATCTGTCCTCTGCCAGCACCCGCATACATGTGCATAAACACATAGATACACATGAGTACACATGAATAAAAATTAAATATTTAAAAATTGTGTTTATTAATATTTCAATGTACAAAAATTGCCATTCTAATTTTGAGTCACTTGTCCCGTGCACTGGCTGGTTTTGTGTCAACTTGACAATAGCTAGAGTCATCAGAAAGGAAGTAGCCTCACTTGAGGAAAGGCCTCCATGAATCTCAGCTGTAAGCATTTTCTCAATTAGCGATCAATGGGGGAGGGCCAGCCCGTGGTGGGTGGTACCACCCCTGGGATGATGGTCCTGGGTTCTATAAGAAAACAGGCTCAGCAAGCCATGGGAAGCAAGCCAGTAAGCAGCTCCCCTCCACGGCCTCCGCATTGGTGCCTGCCTCCTGGATCCTGCCCTGTTTGAGTTCCTGTCCTGGCTTCCTTCAGTAATGAACAACAATATGGAAGTATAAACCAAATAAACCCATTCCTCCCCAACTTGCTTTTTGGTTATGGTGGCTCTTCACAGCAAGAGACACCATAACTAAGACATTACTCATAAGGTTTTTTTTTTTTTTTTTTTTTTTTTTTTTTTTTTTTTTTTTTTTTTTTTTTTCCCCCAGCAAGGTGGTGTAATTTTCCTTTGAAACGGTCAGGGCTGAAATGCCAGTAACCCAGCTCTGCATTCTTCGAGATTATGCAGTCCCAGTAGGCACAGATTGGACGTTCTCTGAAACGTTTGCTGGGACTCCACCCCAAACTGGCTTCCCTTAGTGCCTTTCCTAATGGATGTATTGCTGGCATTTGGGACATTTTCTATAGGTTACATTCTTGAAGTGTTTTTGCACTTTTTTGAAGCCAATTTCTACAATTTGTTAATTAAACATCATACTCTAGTTTTTTAAAGTTTAAACTTTAAAAATAAAAATACAGAAACGAGGATGGCAAGATGGCCCAGCAGGTAAAAGATGGGCACTGCCAAGCCGAGCATCTGCGTTGGGTCCCTGGAACCCACATAGGGGAAGCAGAGAACCTAGTCCTACAAGTTGTCCTCTGACCTCTGCGGGGATGGTGGCACACACATGCACAAACAGACCTAAAAAATACAGAAATATTTTTAAAAGTGCCATGTGCCATTGGGATTGACTATTAGTATTTTCACATACATCCTTTAAATACCTTTTAAATACAAGAAATAAAAAGAGATGGCTGTTCTTTTCTGTACTCAACTTACTATATTTTGTGACCTGGACTTTTCTTAAAGGTTTATTTATTTTTATGTATAGGAGGGATTTACCTGCATGTGTGTCTGTATGTGTGCAGTTCCTGAAGAGGCCAGAAGGCATCCAGTTCTTAGGAACTAGAGTTACAGACAATGGTGAGCTGTTGTATGGGTGCTTAGAATCAAACCTGGGTCCTCTGGAAGAGCAACAGGTGCTCTTAATTGCTGAGCCATCTTTCTGGACTGAATTTTTTTTAAGGTTTCAGGTTTTGTTTAACTTATTTATTATATTTTTATGTGCATTATTGTTTTGCCTGTGTGTATATATGTGAACCATGTGAGTGCTGGAGTAAGTCACTGGAATCCCATGGAACTGAAGTTGTGGATGATTGTGAACCACCATGTGTGTGCTGGAAATCAAAACTGGATCCTTTGCAAGAGCAATCAGTGTGCTTAACCACCGAGACATCTCTCCAACACCCTGAATTAAACACACACACACACACACACACACACACACACACACACGCGCGCGCGCGCGCGCACACACATGTATTTTATGTGAATGGGTGTTTTGCCTGTATGTATGTCTGTGCATTTGTGTATGCAGTGCCCAAGGAGGGTAGAAAAAGGTGTTGGATCCTCTGGAACTGAAATTACAGGCAGCTGTCAGCCCCATTGAGTAGTGGGAGCTGAACTTGGTTACTTTGCAGGAACAGCAAGTGCTTTTAACTGCTGAGCCATCTTTCCCATCCCTGACCTGAATTTCTTGGAAAATTCTTAGGGATATATAGTGTGTAATCATTTAACCCATTCTTTTGTACTTTTGCATTCATATATTTATAAGTAAAAAGTTTAGATAAAGTGTATTTTAAAAGTTGTATAACCTGTAAGAGGTTGCATATATATATGTATAATTTTAAATGTGCATTGGTGTTTTGCCTGCATGTATGTCTGTGTAACGGTGTTGGATCTTGTATCTCCAGCCCTGCATATATTGTTTTTCAATTCCTTTTTCACTCAAAATTTATAAAACTTGGGGGTTTTAATTGTTTTGTTTGTTCATTTGTTTATGTACATACGTATGTGTTTGTGTGGATGTATTCCATGAGTGTATGGATGCACAAGGAGGCCAGAAAATCCCCTGAACTGGAATTTCAGGAGGTTGTGATCTGCCTCATGTGGGTGCTGGGAGCCGAATGTGGCTTTTCTGGAAAAGCAAGAAGTACTCTTACGCTGAGCATATCTGCAGCCTCAAGGCTGACGTATTAATCTACGTGTAACGCCGACTCAGTGATTTTAGCCACTATACAGCACTTTACTATATGCGGTACTTCTATCTGGAATGGATAAATGCTTGTTGACAAACATTGACTTTCTCCCAGGTTTGTCTGTTAGGATTCTCACGAATAACTTCCTTAAGTTTCTTCTGCTATGGTATGCACAATTCCTGGTGTGAGATCAATTAGTTTACATACATTTTTTAGTTTTTCTGGGCATTGCCCTATTTCTCTACAAACTAATCATATTTATTTATACTCCTGTCCTCTCTTGGTGGCAGATTTATTATTTGATTTGATATTGTTAGAAATTTGTTTTAGATTGAATTGATCTGATCACTGATTGAGGTTAAGCATAAGTTCATGTGTCCATCATGGGAATTCCTTTGTGACATGTCTGTACTTTTGTGCTTACTTGCCCTTTTTGGTGGGGGGGCAGTATTGAGACAGGGTATCACTCTATAGCCTTGGCTGGCCTGGAACTTACTATGTAGACCAAGCTGGCCTCTAACTCATAGAAATCCCCCTGCCTCTCCCTCCTTCCCAAATGCTGGGATGAAAGGCGTGCATTACCATGACTGGCTTTCTTGTTTTTTTTAATGTTCTTAGTGTTGGGCATTGAACCTCCCTACAAACTATATTTCTAGCCCCTAATTTTTTTATTATTTTTATTTCTTTTTGAGACAAGGTCTCATGTAGCCCAGGATGGCCTCAAGCTTGCTATGTAGCTGAGGATGACCTTGAACTTCTCATTTTCCTGACTTCACCTGCTGGACACCAGGATTGCAGGTATATCCCACCATGACCTGTTTTTTTTTGTTTTTTTTTTCAGTGCTGGGGATTAAACTCAGGGCCTTGTGAATGCTAGGTAAGTACTGTAGCACTGAGCTACATCCCTGCACAGCTCTTATGATTTTAGAAGATGGAGTCTTGTCCTGCCCTGCAAGCTTTTCAGAGTATATAGTACCTATCTGAGCATGGTGCTTGTTCTCAGTTTTCTAGTCTGGGGATTTGGGAGTCAAGCTTCTGACAAATTTGGTGCTGATGGGATCAGTCACTCTGGTGACTGTAGCATGAGTCTTAGAAGTTTTTATTAATAAAATTAAACCTGAGGCCAGTTATTGCGGTGAATGCTGGAAGATCAGAGAACCAGAACAAGCCACAGCTACCTCACCTAGCCAATTCCTCAGCTAATCCTGTTACCTCCAACTGAAAGCCTCTGAGTCCTCATCCAAATGGATCTCAGCTGAACTGTGCTGCTCGAAAGCCTGAATGCTTAACCAGCCAAATGCTTCTAGTTCCTGGTCTTCATGCCTTATATACCTTTCTGCTATCTGCTGTCACCTCTTGAGATTAAAGGCGTGAGTCACCATGCCTGGCTGTTCCCAATGTGGCCTTGAACTCACAGAGATCCAGAGGGATTTCTGCCTCTGGAATGCTAGGATTAAAGGCGTGTGCTACCACTGCCTATCCTCTATGTTTAATATTGTGGCTGTCCT